GTTGTTGTAATATCTATGTATCTTTATTTTTTGAATCTTTATGTACTATCTCTTTTGTGGATAAAATAAATTTAAAGAAATGAATTCAAAAAATAAAATAAAATAAAAAAAAACTAAACACAACTTAAAATCAAGAGAAAAAAAAAATAAATACAAAAAGAGATAGAATATAAAAAAAACACAAAAAAAAAAGATTACTTAATTTATAAATTTATTCCATACACATAAAATTAATTAAATTAATAAAATTATTAGTATTAAAATGTTAAAGATAAAGATTTTTCATATATATGATTTTTTGATTAAAAATAAAATATTTAAAAAACACCCACCACACCACCCACACTACCACCTCCTTACTTTGCTACCCAATTTTTATATTAATTCACATTTATAACTATGGTTATGACAATAGTATAAAATGGTAATATTTTTTACAATTATTATCAATTAAAGTAATAACTATTCATTTATTTATATTATTATGTGAACATAATGGCAAATAAAAATAATCAAAATAAAATCTAACCACATTGGTCAACAATTAATTACCCCTTCTAAAACAACCACACTTTGGACTAGTTTTATAAAATTAGAGTATTTCCCACACACATGAGTTAATTACTATTATTTTTTAAAAGATATTACACTTCTTTCTCACCTCTTAATATTATTTTTTTTTTTTTTTTTTTTTTAATTTATACAATCCACCCCCATTTTATTCATAATTTTTTAATATACCACCACTGTTTTACCCCACAACCCCACCACTACAAAGGTAATATAATAATAACCCCTACTCCCACACTCTTACATTTTAACCCAACCCTAAAAATATAATACTATATATCGTAAGGGTATTATTTTTAGTTTTTTATTTTAATATTTTATAAAAGTGTAATGTGAATGTAATAAAACACAACACACTAATTGTTTTTTTAATATTATAATTGCTAATTATGGTATATTTTTTTTCCTCTCTGTTTCTAAGATATTTTTTAATAATTTATCTCTTTGGATTCTAATTTATATGAATAAATTTAGATCTCGCTAACAATTTTCATATAAATTATTATTAATCTTACTTTTTTATTGTTGTGAGGGAGTTTATTTTGTGTGGGTGTGTGAATATATTTTTCTATATATTACTTTATATATATTTTAATATGTTTTTATTAGTTTCAATGTGTTCTATATATGGTTTGAATTATCACTTTTTATAATTTTATATATACAATAAATAACAACAGCACATGTGTAAAGTTTATAAATCATTCTCTGTATTAAAACGCTAAGTTTTTATTACTCCTGAGGGAAAATTAATCAATAGAATTATTTTAATATTATAAAAACAATTTATTTTTGAACTGTTTTTAAAATAATAATTATTTTTTTTTTAAATTATTTAAATTTTTGAACTAAAATTAAAATATTTTTGTATTTTAGTTAATTTTTTAACGTTTAATTTTTTTATTTTTATTTGTAAATAGTCCATTTTTTAATTAATTAAATTATACAAATATTTGTTTTCTCCATTGTTTAAATATTCAATATTAAAAGATAAAAAACTTTTTTTTTTTTTTGGATAAAATAAAATCAAAATTATTTATTTATTTTAATTTGAATAAGAAATATAATAGGTTGGGTCTACAGTATTTTCAGATGATATTTGATTACCAACAGTAACAGTTACTAAATGTTCTAAACCAATACCTGGTGGAATAATACATTTAATTAAATTTGAGTTAATCCATTGAACATCTTGACATCTATAATCTGTGCCAATTGAAACGTAGTTTTCATTTTCGTTCCATTCGATTGTTGTTGATTGATTTAGTTTTTTATCGAATATCTCTTGAGTTGGTGGGAAGTTATAACCTTGAATAGTAATTTCATCGCCTTCTTGAACAACTGGATTAAATGTTGGATCATCTAATGGTGATTTGATTTGTGGTGGTGGGAATGAATATTCGAAAGAATAACCTTCGTAAACTGTAACTAAATCATTATTGAGGAATTTGATTACACCTTTACCAACGTTTGGTGTTGGTAAAACACATACATATTTATCGTATTTAAAGTCTTCAAAGTATTGAGCATTGTTTGTTAAAGTTGTATCATCGGTGCATGGGTGTTCTTGGTTATTATTATTAATTGGTTCAATATGTTTATATGGACGATTACATTGTGCTTCTACTTCGCAGTAAAGTTTTTCTTTTTCGCCATTTGGATGATCGATGAATGGATGTACTAGACGTTCAGCAAAAGACCCAAAGTTTATTCCAAATACAAAGAATCTGTTTATATCTGAGGTTTTGAAATCTTGATGATCGACATGGAGAATGGTCGGTGATTTATAATTAAACTCCACAATGTTACTATCATAATTACTGTTATCAGAATAAAAAGTAATCATAATATTTGCTTTTGAGAAACCACTTGGAACAATCATAACAATCTCTGTTGAAGATACTGAAATAATATTACTGTCTGTATAACCAATGTATCTATTGCCAAATTTTATCATCATATCGCTAAATGTTACTGGGAATTTACCATAAATTGTAATTGTATCGCCAACAGATGAGCTATAACTTGACAAGCTTGTTATAATTGGACCATATGATATATAATAGGTTGGTTCTATCGATTTTTGATTACCAACAGTAACAGTTACTAAATGTTCTAAACCAATACCTGGTGGAATAATACATTTAATTAAGTTGGAACTAGTCCATTGAACATTTTGACATCTATAATTTGTGCCAATTGAAACGTAGTTTTCATTTTCGTTCCATTCGATTGTTGTTGATTGGTTTAGTTTTTTATCGAATATCTCTTGAGTTGGTGGGAAGTTATAACCTTGAATAGTAATTTCATCGCCTTCTTGAACAACTGGATTAAATGTTGGATCATCTAATGGTGATTTGATTTGTGGTGGTAGGAATGAATATTCGAAAGAATAGCCTTCGTAAACTGTAACCAAATCATTATTGAGGAATTTGATTACACCTTTACCAACGTTTGGTGTTGGTAAAACACATACATATTTATCGTATTTAAAGTCTTCAAAGTATTGAGCATTATTTGTTAATGTTGTTTCATCGGTACATGGATGGTTTTGATTATTATTATTAATTGGTTCAATATGTTTATATGGACGATTACATTGTGCTTCTACTTCGCAATAAAGTTTTTCTTTTTCGCCATTTGGGTGATCAATGAATGGATGTACTAGACGTTCAGCAAAAGACCCAAAGTTTATTCCAAATACAAAGAATCTGTTTATATCTGAGGTTTTGAAATCTTGATGATCGACATGGAGAATGGTTGGTGGTTTATAATTAAACTCCACAATGTTACTATCATAATTACTGTTATCAGAATAAAAAGTAATCATAATATTTGCTTTTGAGAAACCACTTGGAACAATCATTACAATCTCTGTTGAGGATACTGAAATAATATTACTATCTGTATTACCAATGTATCTATATCCAAATTGAATCATAAAGCTGTCAAATATCTCGGGGAATATACCATAAATTATGATTGTGTCGCCAACAGACGAGCTATAACTTGATAAACTTGTTATAGTGGGATTAAAATTTTCACTACTTGAGTTTTCTGGTGTTTGTGTGGGTGTTTCAGTTGGGGTTTCGGTAGGTGTTTCAGTTGGGGTTTCAGTAGGTGTTTCGGTAGGTGTTTCGGTAGGTGTTTCGGTAGGTGTTTCGGTAGGTGTTTCGGTAGGTGTTTCAGTTGGTGGAACGTAGAAAGGATTTATAATTGAACATGACATAATATCACCTGTACATTTAACTGACTCACTGAATATTGTTATATCATCTTGACCACATTCTATAACTTTATTTTCACTGTTTAATTTACATTCGTATGCATCTGAAAAGTATTTTTCGGTGCCATCATCGCCAATACAAATAAATCCTTGTATGTCATTATTTATAACTGTTAGGGTTGAACTTTTTTTGTCTATTAAACATGAGAGTGATCTACTTTTAGTTGGATCAGTTGGAGGTGATATATGACCAAAACCACCATCGTCTTTTGTTATTGAACATATTGAATCTGCGATATAGCATTTAACTGTTTGATTGAATTCTATATCAATTTGATTATCAGTTGAACATGTAATAATTTCATTATTTTCATTGTGATTGCATTCTAAGCTTCCACTATGATAATAGCTTGTTTGTTTTTCATCTGTACAATATATTTCGATAGATTCATAATTATTAATCTTTAATCTTGTATTGTCAATGTTATAATCGCAA